CCCCGTACCCCCACCCGCCCCCCTGGGGAGCACCGCCGAAGCACCCGGCCCAACATCATCCTCATCCTCACCGATGACCAGGACGTGGAGCTGGGTGAGCGGCCAGCCACCTTGTGTCTAACGGCGCCCCCTGCTGTATCAGCAAGCTGCTGCGCCGGGCTCTCATTCATGTAAATGGCTTTGAACCACAGAGTGGGCCATTTGAATAAATTAACTTCAAAGCAGTGAAATACCCCAGAATGCTGCAAGGCATCAGAAAAACCTGAGCAAATGTGATGTATGTGTTATCAGTGTCTGTCGTTGTGTTTATTATTTATTGTGTCATATTTGACTAAAGGCGTTTGCAGGGCAGCAGTTTAACAAATACAGACGCTCCTCTACTTACGAACTTTCAACTAATGAACTTTCAGACATACGAACGAAGAGGACTGTAAGTCCACATTGTGTTCCTTTGGCTCCCGTTTCCTGTCTGCATCATTAATTTTTTTTTTCTGCGCACCTAGTATGACTTCTGGCCGCTGTTCCCCCCACACAGCAGCGTAGCGTAGCGTAGCGTAGCGTACTCCCAGCATCCTAGTTCTTTGTACTTGCGTATACCCTTAAAATTATGTTGAATAACGACTTAGGAACATTTCAAGTTACGAACGGCCGTTCGGAGTATCTCTCATTCGTAAGTAGAGGAGCGTCTGTGCTTTCATTTATTTAGCAAACATTGTTATCTGGATCAGCTTAATATTACTGTGAAACATAAATGCATACTCCAATGTCCATAGGGAGGGGCCCCCTCCCTCTCTGTGGTTGCTGTAACTTGGTCACGTGGTTTCCCGCGTCATCGCTCAGTGTCACTCCCGTTGCCCCATTGCCACCTGTGACAGAAATTCAGGTGCGGTGAATGACCTTAGTTGAAGATGTAATGTTGAGGTAGGGGTCCCCCTAGTGGCCAAAAGGCATGATGTGGCAGTACGCATCCCTTAGGGCCTGTCTTGCTTTCACCTGGATGGATGGTTCACGTCCCGATCCTGTTACTGCCGAATCACCGATGCAGATCACTGCACTAAACCATTTATCACATGATGCATTACGAGAGAGTAAGAGGATCTTTCAGTCTGTCCGGCTCAAACCGGTTTGACTGCACTGCTGCTATTGTGAGCCACCTGCGGTGTGTCAGGGCAAGAGGAGACACTGTAAAGCGCATGGCGGTCAGAGCTTCCCATGCCGGTCACACCCAGAGAGCAGAAACGCCAAGGCATCAATCCCCCATAAAGCTCTAATTGCATTCTGTGACTAAGCAGACCGTTCATATCTGTTATGCTGCACATGCTATTAATCACACAATAAGTCCCGGGGATGGAGGACTGTGTGATGGACTGGGGCGAGCTGACAGCCAGCAGTCACAGAGCCACCGTCAGCGTGAGACGGTTTCTCACACGACTCTCAGCCAGGGGGCGGGGCATTTCGGTCTCACCTAACCTGCGTGGCCGGCATGCGTGGGTGTGTCCAGACAGCAGTGCCCTGAGCACAGGGAAGGAGGGGGGGGCAACAGTCAGGGCACTGGGTCAGACTCTGTGCTTTTCATTCTTAAAAAAGCAGTAGGACTTTCTGAAAAGTTTCAAGACAGTCGTTAAATAGTTTAGCCCAGTTCTGTACCCTCTACCTCCCCTCTGCTCCCCTCCCCAAACCGGACCAGTATAAGCAGACAGCAGCAGATGCTCAGGGCTGGCTATGGCCCAATGGCACACCCAGTATTTTCTGACCTCCCTGTGCTCACCCCCCCCCCCCCAGGATCCATGCAGGCCATGAACAAGACAAGGCGCCTGATGGGCGGGGCTGGCATGAGCTTCTCCAACGCCTTCGTGACCACACCCATGTGCTGCCCATCACGCTCCTCACTGCTGACGGGGAAGTACGCGCACAACCACGACACCCACACCAACAACGAGAACTGCTCCTCGCCCGCCTGGCAGGCCCACCACGAGCCTCACACCTTCGCCACACACCTCCACGCCGCAGGATACAGGACGGGTGGGTGCCTTGCCGCCCCACCTGCTGCTCTGTCTGCCGCCCCACCTGCTGCTCTGCCTGCCGCCCTCCGGGGTCACGGGCCGGTTCCTCCACCAGCAGGGAACCCACGTTTTATATCTTATCAGTTTCACTCTTTACTCTTCTGGTACATTACACTTCATCAGACTGGGTTTCGTTTTTTGGCAGAATGAATGTACCTTTTTTCGGAAAGCAGGGTCAGACGGTCCCTGGAGCTTTTGGGGTTGAGGGCCTTGGTCAGGGAACCAAAGTGACATCACTCTGCTGAGCCTGGGATTTAAATCAGCAACCTTCTGATCACAGGCACAGCCTTTGTCTATGCAGCTGCTTAAGGTTTACGTTCAATGTTGAAAATGAGTCTGGTAAATACCTATATGTTATGTTCCTACAGGACAAAAAGCTGTTTTATAATACTTTCTCATGCTAATTTAACTTATGCAATCACACGACCAACAGTGTGTGATTGCATAAAACAAATATTTGTTTTTTTTTCACAGTTAAACGCCCACACCCCCATCTGCATTCCATTCCCCCCCACCAAGTCAAAAAACCAACACCATAAATATTTGCACTGGACATGAAACAATTTTTTGACCACAGGGAAGGTATCTGTCTCTGAATATTTTTATTTTATCCCCCCCCCCGGGTCACCCTTCATGGGCGCCCCTGCGCATGGAGGCGTTTCCTGCACCATGTGACCAACTCGGCAGGCTTCTGCAGGGCCCGAATCGGCTCGCCCTTTTTGAGGGGGTGGGGGGTGGTCTTCGCTGCGGCCACTGTGCCCAATACACACAGTGGGACATGTACCAAAAATACACACACTGAGGAAATCTTAGGGTGAAATCTGAAGTGTGTAATCCCACTGATCCCACATGAAAGTAATGGACTCCCCCCCCCCCCACTTCTGTTTTTTTTTTTGCAGCCTTCTTCGGGAAGTACCTCAATGAGTACAACGGCTCATACGTACCGCCCGGCTGGGGACACTGGGTGGCGTTGGTGAAGAATTCCCGTTTCTACAACTACACGCTGTGCAGGAACGGCATGCGCGAGAAGCATGGTGGACACTACCCCACGGTCTGGCCCCTGTCTGACTACTAATCAGGCTCCTGGGTCACTGACGTCCCAGGGCTCAAAGCTTAAAATGTCATGGGCGGTAAATGGTGGTTCTGAGCCCAGTAAGCAGGCGTGAGACGGTGTTGGAAGTTGCTGAGGTCTACGGGGCGGAGGGATGGGGCAGGACTGGCAGTTAAAAGGTGCCACAACCTTGGATCTGCTGCCTCACCTTGATTCAGGCCACATATCTATGCAAAGTTCGTTTGACTTCCATACCTGAGACATGTAACCAAAAGACTGTGGGAAAATGCATGATGCTTGCTTTTGAGTCCTGTAATATTCTGTTACTCTCGCTTTCAGATAATTTGGACATAATGCCTTCTAAATAGCTGAATCAGCAAATAAATTAACTATATAATAGCCAAATAACATGCTTATCTGCTTTCTTGTAGCACCCTGTGGAATGAAGAGACTAAACAACATTTCCTTGTTAACCAGGACTACCTTACAGACATTATTACCAACGACAGCATCAGCTACTTCCGTACATCGAAGAAGACGTACCCTCAGCGGCCTGTGATGATGGTGCTGAGCCACGCTGCCCCCCATGGCCCGGAGGACTCGGCGCCGCAGTACAGCGATGCATTCCCCAATGCCTCCCAGCACATGTGGGTGCAGCGTATGCACACGTGGGGTCTAATGTGATGTGACCATACACAGGCAGTGATACTGCATAATGTATTACCTACTAATGGAGTTTATTTTGAGCTCACCAATGCAAAGCTCTAGAAAGATGATACCATTTAGACAGAGATGTTAGGGCTTAAAATGAACTCTGACTCCAGCATCCTAACACTGAGCCCCGGATAATGCAAACAAGCAGGCTGGGGCTCAGTTTCCTTCCCCGGCCAGCTGGACGGCAGCAGGTAGCCTGCGCTCGTGCCCCCTGATGGCGAGGGTGTTGAGGAATAGGGTGGTGTCTCAATCTGCCTGCTCTCCGCGGCTCACACCAGCTGCTTTGGAGACCTTCGTGACCTCCGACCACCTGCACGGCTTTTGCTGGACATGTGCGGAAACCATGGGCACACACTGACGCATGACACACATGATAACATGCAGGTATACTAACTGGCTCTGCTTATTCGTCCACAGTGCGTGGTTATGTGTGTGTGTGCCCTGTGATGGACTGGCATTCCATCCAGGGTGCCCCCCATCCTTGTGCCCTGTGCCACCCGGGATTCGCTCCAGGCTCCCTGTGACAGTGATCAGGATAACCGGCTGGAAGATGGTTTATTCTGAGAGTACCTGATGTAAAATGTCTCCTGTTCACTCAGCACCCCCAGCTACAACCGAGCTCCAAACCCTGATAAACACTGGATCCTGCGTTACACACGACCCATGCAGCCACTGCACATGCAGTTCACCAACATGCTGCAGAGGAGGAGGCTGCAGACACTGCTGTCTGTGGACGACTGCGTGGAGAAGGTGAGCATGCCACACTTTAAAGACCAAAGGGCTGAGATGGCGCATGGATGAGCCTGCTAGTTTAGCTTCTGTCAATGTCCTGAGGCTGGTGTGTGTTGTTCGGTACCATAGGCGGGTGTGTGCTGTTTGGTATCTGAGGCAGGTGTGCTGTCAGGGTTCTGAGGCAGGTGCGTGCTGTTTGGTATCTGAGGCAAGGTTTACGCTGTTTGGTACCTTATTCAGGTATGTACTGTTTGGTATCTGAGGCAGGAGTATGCTGTTTGGTACCTGAGACACGTGTGCTGTCAGGGTTCTGAGGCAGGTGCGTGGTGTTTGGTATCTGAGGCAGGTGAATGCTGTTTGGTGTCTGAGGCAAGCGAATGCTGTTTGGTGTCTGAGGCAGGCGAATGCTATTTGGTGTCTGAGGCAAGTGTATGCTGTTTGGTGTCTGAGGCAGGTGTGTTGTTAGGGATCTGAGGCAGGTGAATGCTGTTTGGTATCTGAGGCAGGCGCATGTTGTTTGGTATCTGAGGCAGGCGCATTCTGTTTGGTATCTGAGGCAGGTGAATGCTGTTTGGTATCTGAGGCAGGTGTGATGTTAGGGATCTGAGGCAGGTGAATGCTGTTTGGTATCTGAGGCAGGTGTGTTGTTTGGGATCTGAGGCAGGTGAATGCTGTTTGGTATCTGAGGCAGGTGAATGCTGTTTGGTATCTGAGGCAGACGCATGCTGTTTGGTATCTGAGGCAGGCACATGCTGTTTGGTATCTGAGGCAGGTGAATGCTGTTTGGTATCTGAGGCAGGTGTGTTGTTAGGGATCTGAGGCAGGTGAATGCTGTTTGGTATCTGAGGCAGACGCATGCTGTTTGGTATCTGAGGCAGGTGTGTTGTTAGGGATCTGAGGCAGGTGATCAACTTGTTATGTGTGCTACATGGCTCTTCATCTTCTCTTGTGTACCAGTGTGTGAGTGATCTGACTTCTCTGTTTCTCAGGTATACAAGATGTTGGTGGACACAGACGAACTAGAAAACACATATGTGATTTACACGGCTGATCATGGCTACCACATCGGCCAATTTGGCCTGGTCAAGGGCAAGTCCATGCCGTACGAATTCGACATCCGTGTGCCGTTCTACGTGCGCGGGCCTGGCGTGGAGCATGGCGCTGTGTGAGTGTCCTTTCAGTGACTAGCTGTACGATGTATTACAATACCCTTTGTTCTTAAGTAACTCAGTGACTTAGGACAAGCATGAAATGCAATACAGTGTAATATAGGACGATCTCAGTATAAAAAGACGCACCATTTATTGAATTACTTGTTAATGAAAAATATATTATATGTATGCAGATTCTCCACTCGCTAATAATTGACAGTGTTTTTCCTTCTGACTGCAGATATTCAGACACAGGGACTCGTTTTGTCATAGATATTCAGTATGAAGGATTAGTTGACTTTTAGGGTGATTCTCATGAAATCTTGGTTTCAACGATTTCAAACATGAAGAAGACTTGCATCAACAAATTCCTTTTTTAGCCATTAATAACTAGGTCTGAACTGTTTGTAAGGGTAAATTTTAAATCATTTACAGAAATATTTACATGTTTTTTAACATTTCCCAAAACAAGTCCTTAAAAATCTCATTGCCGAAACATCAAGACCATTCTCAAAACATCAAGACCATTAAGAAAGCCAATACTTTTTCACATTTTTAAATTTGCTTATTAACAGTCATGCTTATTAACAGTCATACTCAGTTACTTGAAACTCTGAAATAATGTATATTTTTAAATTAACATTTTTATTTGATTTTGACTGATTTCTATCATTACCGCAACACCTTCTGGAATCTACAACCTAATATTTTTCATATTTCACTGAAACTTGATATATTTTTTAAATAATGTGGCAAACCTGAAGGAACATAACATATAGATTCTACACATATTTTTTGATTTATTAAATTAACATTAAATGGACACCTTCGCTGTAATGATACAGAGGTTTCAGAAATGAGGTTGATGGTTTCATGAGAATCACTTTTTAATGCTTTTTAAATCAGGTTTCAATCCACATCAATGCATTACAGTGACAGTATTATGGAAATACGGCTGCATGTTTGTGTCTGACCAAGCTGTGGAAGCGGAGACACTGGGCTCTTTGTCTGTGGGAGGGTCTCCCGGTCACCCTGAAACCTGTTGGGGGTGCTCCTTTGTCTCTTTCTCTCTCTCTCTCTACCTGGAAACCCTGGTCACCCGATTGGCAGCTGCAGACAACTGTGTCCGCTGGCTCTCTGACAGCTGTGCACTGTGTGTCTGCTGGATAAGTAAATGCAAATGTGAATGTAATAGGAGGAGGCTGCCCTGAGGAAAGGAGAGACAGGGACAGACTGAGAGGAGAGGAGCTCAAACCTACAGCGACAGAGCAACTGACCCCGTTTTCACCTCCCCTTCTCTCTCACAGCAATCCACACATCGTGCTGAACATCGACCTGGCCCCCACCATCCTGGACATTGCCGGGGTCAACGTGCCCCCAGACATGGACGGCAGGTCTATACGGAAACTTCTGGGCCCTGGTAAACCTGCAAACAGGTATGGCACCTGGCTGTGGGATGGTACAGCCTGATGCACACCTCCCTGCCACCTCAACGTGACCCTTCCCTGTCACCCAAGGTTCCAAGTCCCCGGCGAAGTGGAAGCATGGAGGGACTCCTTCCTGGTGGAGAGAGGGTAAGTCTGGAATGTTCCAGAAACATGGGTGCATCGGAAACGTTCGCCCCCATGTATGTTGTCATTAGTTGCCATAAGGCTGCCTTGTATGAGCACACAGGTGGAGCACAAGCGGCTGCACACAGGACCTCTCACTGTCACCCACAGAAAGCCGTTACGCAGGAGGGATTATGGGAAGGAGACGCAGCAGGAAGATAACTTCCTACCAGGCCAGCAGCGGGAGGGGGACCTGTGTCAGCCGATGGAGCACCAGGCCCCCTGCGAGCAAAGAGGGCAGGTATGTATGTCAGGCTGCGTGTTCCCCTAACCCTAACCCTAACCCTAACCCTGCGAGCAAAGAGGGCAGGTATGTATGTCAGGCTGCGTGTTCCCCTAACCCTAACCCTAAGCCTAACCCTAACCCTTAAACATAACCCCCTTGCATGCAGTCAGTGCTATTTTGTATGTGTGTTTGTGCTTGTGTGTGTTTGCATAGATCACATTTGGGGACCAAAGTGTCCCCAAAATATGGTAAAACCTGAAACTTCCTTTCTTTTAGGGGCATCTTTCAGGTCCCCACTTGGATAACCTCAATTTTCTAAAACTCTGTGACTGCAATCAAAAAGACTAAAAATGCCGGAAGTCTTGTATTTTGTTTGGTTACCTATGGTTAAGGTTAGGGCTGGGTAGGGATTATGGTTGTCATTGTTGGGATTAGGGTTTTGCCCATAGAAATGAACGGGCAGTCCCCACAAAGATATGAGTACAGGTCTCTGCGTATGTGTATGTGTGTGTGTCTATGATATAAGCCAAACCCTTCCCCCCCCCAGCAGTGGCAATGCACAGAGGACCCCTGGGGGACGCTGCGTCTCTCCAAATGCCCCCCTGCCCAACCTGCCCCTTACAGAGGTCCAGGGAGGTGCAGATGTGACTCCCTCAGCCTCCCAGCGAGGTCTTTCAGGCCGGAGGAGCCGCCGTCTAATGAGGGTGAGCCCCCCCCCCCAACGATGAGATCACTGTCTCTGCACCCCTACAGCGTGCCTCGTTATCTGAGCCGCATGACGTATTTTAACAAGCAGCTCAGTCTGTGAAACGCGCCGTGTCACCGCAGGTCACAGATTCCTCTCCACCTCTCAAAGACTTCTTGAACTTGGTCGTATGAAACACTTATTTAGGTATAAAGAGACCTTTGCTGACATCTAGTGGTTTGTCAGGGGACATACAGAGAATGGGGGGTGGGTAGTGTAGTCAGATCAGCACAAACACAGACACCATGAGAAACAAGCAAAGCATGAAAAGAGAACGACTTACAGGAATACAGTTACTGACAGAGCTGAGCACAGACTCATGTAGTGACTGCTTGTCTGCTGCTTAAGGATAGATTTGTAGTTTAAGAATTACAAGTGGTTGACAGGCGCTTGAAAATAAAACAGAGCAAAGCTGAATTTGCTGTTTGTACAAGTTTGAGTACAAGTACATTGAAATGTGTTAGCTTACACACATCTCTAGCTGCTCTTTAAGACACACACACACAGAAGTGAGGGTGAAGCCATTCATCCAGTACCCTGGAAAGGCAGAAAGAAAGACGGCTACCCTGCCAAGCATGGGATTTGAACCAGCACCCTTCTGCTCACAGGCATAGACGTCGAGCCCACTCAGCCACTCACTGTCCTCAGAATGATGACAAAATGATTCATATCATACAAAGCAGACAGGGTTTGAACCCCTAAGACCAATGGCAATCATCACGCAGTGTCCTGCGTCCTGGGCACTGGCTGGTCTTGTGCGAGTGGCTCGGTCACACAGTGGATTCGTGGGGATTTTTTGGAGGGGTTTATGGGAACGTGAGCCAGCCTCCCTACAGGAACCCCCACCGAGCACCTCCACCATCATCCACATCGCTCTCCTCTTTGCCTGGCAGACACAAAGACCCGGAGGGTCTTTTTCCAGAACCTTCCGGGCCGCTCCGCTCATCCTGCCCGCTGGAACCAGAGCTGGGCTGAGGACCGGTTGTGGTGGCGGGGGCGCAGGGGGGGGGAATGGCAGGACAAATCCCGGGGACCAAACCTGAAGCCCCCAGCTGGCAGCTACCTGAAGGGGCGATCTCCACTGAAAGTCACTTACAGGTGGGTCACAGTGTGCCTGTGTGTGTGTGTGTGTGTGTGTGTGTGTATGTGTGGTTTGACAGGGTTATACTGTGACCCTGTGTGTCTCTGCGCATATTTTTACTTGTATATATTGTATATATGCGTGTATGAGTACATATGTACACAGCGTGTATGCGTGCATGTTCAGAAGGCGTGAAACACGCGAGCCAGCACACAGCCAGCCCGTATTCCTGCAGGTGCTCCCTCCTGACCAATAGCAGCGTGCGCTGTGACGGCGAGCTCTACCACTCACTGCGGGCGTGGAAGGAGCACAAGCTCCATGTGGACCATGAGGTGAGTGAGTCCCAGCTCCTCCCCCCCACTCTGACACTTAGCTGGGTCAGCTGCCCACTCAAGCTTTAAGGACGGTTACCAGCCATGTGCTTTGGGGTGGAGTAAGAGCCATAAACATTGCATGCATGCAGAGTCTGGATTTACACAAGGCACGTGTATCGCTGCTTCGATAGAATGCATTCCCTGTTTCTAACACTTTGAATACATGCAGGTCTGATCTCTGGCTGTTCTTCACTTTGGCCTGCTTCAGGATGCTGTATTTTTTACACTATGCTGCAATCATTGACACCCCCACCCCCCCTCTGCATGTCATATGCAGATCGAGACGCTGCAGACCAGGATAAAGAACCTGCAAGAGGTCAAAGGTCATCTGAAGCATGCCCGACCTGTGGAGTGCAACTGCCCCCTGTGAGTTTTGATAAGGGTCCCTGTCTGCTGAGTCAGTCAGCTCAGGCGACACGGAGAAACTGTACAATGGTCAGGGCACGCGGACAACTAATCATGTGACAGGAAGGAAAGGTACGACTGTCAGGGCATGCAGGCATCTGATCATGTGACAGGAAGGAAAGGTACGACTGTCAGGGCGTGCAGCTGGCCTGCCAGCAGGATAGTGAATCATGCTCAGCAATGCAAAGCTGTGTGCAGCAAACATTTTAGTTGGAGTTTCTGTGCCCGAACACAAGTACAATAAAATGTTTTTTCCAAAATGATTCACAAATGCCACTGTCACATGACCAATTAACAGTTCTCTTACCAACAGTTCCTACTGAGCCACTGTCTTTTTTGGGCTTCAGATACAAGCACAAAGTGGAGCTAAATCATCAAAGAGGCCACATGCATCTGCTCAGGTGATGAGGGGACCCCGGCCGGCTCCCATTCATATGCCATCTCTGGGTCTGTGCTTACATGTCACCTTCCGTGCCCAAGCAGGAAGTCGCAGCTTGAGGACAGGAAGCAGCGGCTTCTGAAGGAGCAGAAACGCAGGAAGAAGCTGCGCAAACTGCTGAAGCGACTGCGCAACAATGACACCTGCAGCATGCCCGGCCTCACCTGCTTTACGCATGACAACCAGCACTGGCAGACTGCCCCCTTCTGGACAAGTAAGGGACTGCAACTTTCAAAACCTACAGGCAAATTCTGTTCCAGATTTCTGGAAAGTCCCACAGTTCTGAAGTTTCCCCTTCTACTGTAGCTCTGTGGAGAGGTTTTCTGTAGGTCTGCAGTGAAATCTCAAAAGGTCAGCCATGTTAAACTGCTTGCCAAAAAGAGGGGGTGAAACAAACAGTGAGTCACTGTTGACCTTTAAGGATGAAATGTTAAGCGGCTTATGGTGGCAACCCTATCTGGCCCCCTCTCTGCCCTTCCAGTGGGGCCGTTCTGCGCCTGTACCAGCGCCAACAATAACACCTACTGGTGTGTGAGGACCATCAACAGCACACACAACTTCTTGTTCTGTGAGTTTGCCACCGGCTTCCTGGAGTATTTCGACCTCAACACTGACCCCTACCAGGTATCCTGTGTCCTACATTCTCCTCCTTATATTCTTCAGCCCTTTTCCTTAACCAAGCATTCCTTTCCTCTGTGTCTGTAGCTGGTGAATGCCGTCAGCTCTCTGCCCCGCAATGTCCTCAACCAGCTGCGCGTCCAGCTGACGGAGCTGCGCTCCTGCAAAGGTCATGAGCAGTGCAGCCTGGAGACGGGTGAGTGGGACGCGCTGCCATCACTGCGACAGCTCGCTGCGTATCATTCCCTGCTGCCCTTAGGCTGATCTGATGGACACTCTTTTCTCCCCAGGGAGTAAAACTCAGAGGAGCCTTGAGGAGCACAGGTACCATACTCTCTAAGCACACTTTCCCCAGCCTGCACGGTCTGCCATTCCCTACCTCTGTGGGGGGCTTCCCCAAGGCCGACTCCATCCCCAAACGCCCCAAACCGAGATCCCATCAAAGGCAACCAGACCAGGATTGGGGCCATTCACTGGAGTTGGAATATAAATCTCCCTGGAATTTAAATTCAGTTCCAATTCTGTTCCCCATAGTTTTTCCAATCTCAACTCCAGTTCCATTTCCTGATCTGGATTGGAATTCATGAATGCATTCCGGAATGACCCCAATCCCGAGCCAGACATCAGCTGCATGTTTCACACATCTGTACTGAGATTGCAGTTACCAGTCCACTGCTACTCTGTGTTTCTGCAGGGTCAGGGCTCTACTAGTTTTGTCTGTGGTGGGTCGAGGGGGTTAAACTGTGAGTTATTTGGCTGTGATCTTATGTAAAAGTCCCTGCCACCTCCACCTCCCCAGTGATGTGTTATGACTGAGCGTATCAGTCCTGCCTGTGTGTGTCTGTTTGGCAGGCAGGTTCACCGGCAGCGGAGGCCGAGCTTGAAAAGCGGCACCTTGGGATCGCTGTGAGTGGACTGTGCCAGCCTGCGTCGGCCCCCCCGGCATGTTTCCTGTCCAGCGTCCTGCCGCCTCTCCCTCCATCACTCTTTGGGCGGGGGGGGGGGGGCAGCGCTGCTCCTGACCTATAGACGCGTATCCTATCCAGAGACCTAAAAATAACATCGTCTGAGACTTTTCCGAATCTGACCCCATTTCATGTGCAGGGTTTGGTTTTGGTTATTATGTAACAGTCATTGAGGAAACAGCTGCTGCCATTTTCTTGGGATAAAACTTAAATAATAATTCAAATAAAGTCATAACAGAACACCATATTGTTATACATTAGGCTCAGATCACCAATCGTCAAATCGTAGTGAAGCTAAAGCGTGATACTAACACACATTTTCGGGTCTCCCTCTTACCAGTGAACAGATTTAGTGCTGGACCGGAGGACTGCACATTGTAGCCCGTCCGTTTGGACCTCCTGAGGGCTGGATCTGACATCACGGACCTCAAACTGACGTTCGCCTGTAGGGTCAGGGGTGGGGCTGTGAGTGGGAGGGCCTGTAGATGAGGGGTTTAGCCTCCAGAAGCCCCCCAGCTTATGGTCAGCCTGATGTGGCTGTAGACACGTCCCAGTCAGCCAGAGCTTGGACTGAAGGCCCTCATGGGAGTGGTCTGTCTCCGCCCCCCATCCCGACTTTTACTTAGGGGTGTCCTTCCTTTTGAAACTCTTGTCACATTCTTAGGCTTCACTGGATCTGGGTGAAAGTCCTTCCATATCATGGAATAAATGCATACGAGGAGATACAAGCCTCCATGAACATATATGAATATTGTGACGTACCATGTTTGTTCATTTAAAAGGGGAAAGGCGTGAAATGTCATTTGTTTGTTTTTGCTAACAGGTCGCATTGCGCTATTTTGCCTTTTCATTAATGGGTCAGGTATGCTAGTTTCCCTTGGCTGCTGGATGCTGAGATAGCTGTGTGAAGGGGAGGCCATCGACCAAGTCGACCCAGAAGGGGACAGGCGGTGGCAGCTGTCAGACTTGAAACTGCTGTTCCCTGGTCAAATCAGGCTGACATCTCAGAACAGATTGCAGTACCACACTGTAAGACTGTAGTAACCAATCCAGGACTACAGTACTACTCAAAGGCAGTACTCGGTCAACTACAATACCACACTACAACACAGCAGTACTCAATTCAGAAATACAGTACCACCCTGGCTGCAAAATAGCAGAACTCAGTCCACAACTTCAGTACCACACTGCAAGGCAACAGTACTCAGTCCATGATTACCGTACCACATTAGAACTCAGAGTATTCAGTCCATAACTACAGTACCAAAATGTAATACAGCAGTACTCAGTCCATAACTACAATACCACTTTGCAATTCAGCAGTACCCAGTCCAAAATTACAATACCACACCGCAGCCCAGCAATACATATTTGAGAACTACAATACGATATTGTACATAAATATTCAATTCAATTTTATTGATACAGCACACTTTCACAATGGTACATTGTCTCAAAGCGCTTATTGTAGTATTGCTGCTGCATCTCGGTGGCTCGTTTTTGGTGGTTTATCATAAGCTTTCTATATTTGCTATTGAGAGAAAATGACTTTCTTTTTTCCGTCTGTTTTCTGTGCATGCCAAATTAGCCTTAGGAAGCTAGCCAGAAGGTAAAAAATAATGACCGCACACAATGCAGTACACAGCACAGAAGTACAGTATCATTCCAAAACAAACCACTACTCAAAGTGCAGTATCAGAACTTTACATAACAAATCAGTAGTACTCATTTCAAATCAACTCCTCCAACCTTCAAAGTTCATCTACAAGTTTGATTCATTCCCTGTTTTTGTATTGTGCTGGTATTTATCCAAGCGGTTCCCTTCCGTTCTATTTTCGCCACGTTTCCTGGATTCTTTAGACTTTGAACCCCACCCTCACTGTCTGAGCTGAGTATGCTGGTTTAGACCTCATTTCTACTGGCTGATGGTTACACAGATAAAATTCACAGCCCTTCCCACTGAGTGGTCCTTTTCAGATGGACATCCAGCATTAAAAGTGCGTCATATGCGGGCAATGGTTTTTATCTCTGCTGTGTCTGTTTTAAGCTCGCCACGTTATTCCCTGTTATGGACCTTGTTAATAATCCTCCACATATTAAATCTTATTGTGCCGAAATGAGTTTTTATCAACTGAAAGTTTTTATTAACTGACTGAAAGTTTCACTATGAAGATTTCGAGGTCTGTGCAAAAGTAAGTGGAAAATACCTGGATCGTCATGGGAAGTTACCATTACACTTTATGTTCTTGCACTCTTAAGTGCATCATTACACAACATCACTGGTGTCAGAGCTTCTCAGAGTCATGTCTAGCTTCTTATGTCCGGCTTCTTAAAACTACATACATAGCCCTTCAGACACATATGTGTTTCATCGGGACCAGTCCTTATATTTTGGCTGTTTACTAACAGTAATAAATACTGGTTATTAACTGGTCATAAATAACTGGTTATTAACAAATGACCCAGCAAACATGCCCCTTTGGGGTCCATGTAGTGCCACTCTGGGCAGCCCATTGTGGCCCCCATTACTGGCGTGATATGCAGGCATGTGGGCCGTATGTGGAGCACCAGTCAGCTGCCCACACTAAGCAGAGTGGCCCCCCAGCATGCCCACACTTTGGGTTGGGTCTGGGCTGTCACAAGGCGACCCCAAAGGGGTTTGCTTGCTGGGTTTGGCTTGATGGATTCCTCCCTGTGGGCAGCCCCAAAGCACTGCGGGAATACTGTGGGGACATTAAGCACACTGTCGGCCAGGGTTGGGGCCATTCCGGAATGCGCTGATCAATTCCAGTCCAAATCAGGAAATGGAACTGGAGCTAGGATTGGAAAAAAAAAACTACGGGGAACAGAATTGGAGTTGAATTTGAATTTCAGGGAGATTTAAGTTCCAACTCCAGTTCCATTTCCTGATTTGGATTGGAATTGCTTTCCGGAATGGCCCCAACCCTGATGTCGGCATACTCTAGGCACACTGGGCACACTGAGCACGCAGTGGCCATACTCTGGGGACATCACGCTCATTATGAGCATACTGCAGGCACACTGGGGCAAAACAACAACAAATTTATTTTTGTATAGTGCGTTTTCACAACATTGCATCGTCTCAAAGCACTTTATAGCATCCCCGCCCAAAGCCCCCAGTGAGTAAGCCAGAGGCGACAGTGGCAAGGAAAAACTCCCTAGAAGGAAGAAACCTTGGGAGGGACCAGACTCAAAGGGGGAGCCCATCCTCCTGGGGCCGGCAAGGAAAGTCAAATCGGAGAGTTTTTTATTACAAAAACAAGGCATTCATGTTGATTTTTTTTTTACCCAAAAACACATTTTAATGCCAGTGATGAAATGTGACAAATAATGTGTCAATATTAGCCTTACAAAAATCAAGTTTGTGACCCTGACATTGTGGACTGTTAAACAAATCACTCATTAAAAATACCATTAAGTGCATAGAAATATAAAAGAAAAACATTTTTTCTTACATTACTGAAGGGCCTGATTATCTGTATCAGGTGTATCAAATTAGGGAAGTACCTAAGCTCTTCAAGGTGGTAGATCTCCTGAAGCAGGAATGAACGGAATGAACAGCCCTGTCATAAATCATCAATAATCATGAAATGACAGTTTAAAGGGCAAAATTGCTGTGGGCCCCACGTGCGCTAACCCACAGGGGCCCCGTGTGGGATTTGTGTGGGTTTGCCCTGCCTACAGTTTCCCCTGGTAAGCCCACACGGTCATGTTTGCTGGGGTAGCCCCTCCCACCTGCATGAACCGGATCAGGATAAGCTATTGCACAAAGGATAGGTGTCCATTAGCATGTGTACCAATTAGCATATGTAGCAAATGCTGTATAAATATATTTTAAGCAACCAACAGCATACGAATGGCGTTTAATGGAGTGATGTACTGTAATTGGATTCAACAAAAACAGAAACTTCTCTTTTTAACTATAGTCAAAAGATCTTTAATCAATAAACTTATACAGTTGATTCCCAAAACCTGCTTTTAAGTGAGAGTGTGTATTTGTTTGTCTACCTGTATGTGTGGTACTGTGTGTGTGTGTGTGTGGTCAAAGGCCTATACATTGTCCTCTGTCTAATTCGAGCCCCTAATTACTCAAACTGCAGACTTTCCCTTCCCTAGGTTTGATGTCCATCTTAAATAAAATGCCATGGGGGAGGCAGGAGGAAGAGGAAAACAGCACAGAATACATACGTCTAACAATACTGTATGTGTGTGTGTTTCAAACGGAGAGCAAGAGAATGTGAGAAAAGTAGCATTGCAATAGTAAATAAAGTAGAATTTAATTTCATTTCACGTGGCCTTTTAATAAAGAATTTTTGAAGAGGTAATATTTTCAGTTTACTGTGGATTTTTCATTCCGCAAAATTTATTGTGGGAATTTCAAGTAAGTTTTTAATGCCTGTTTGTTGGCCGCTGGTGTACATGGGAGATCTGGGCTTCTGACATTCCTGAAGTCAGCAATACAAAAAGGCAACATATCAATATCCAGATAGGCCTACAGCAAAATAGATAAAATTTTGAAGAGTTTTTTCCAGTAACCAAAGCACTGTCTCCTCTTAAGTTTGTGTTGCACCAACAGTGGTCAGCCGTGTAGAATAAAACCACCTCTTAAATGCATGTATTTCTTTCAATGAAACAAAATAGTAAAATTACAAAATCATTTAATCACTTAATATAACTAGAACTGTTCTTCAGTGGCTATATGTATGTTTCATTAACATACAACATAACATAGCAGCACCCTGTGCACAATTATAAATTATGTGTTATGGCATAATTGACTAGCTTATTATTGTTATGCTTATTCTGCTACCTAAATAATCTAGATAATAATCACTGTCCCGAGTAGACAGAATCAAAACCTAAATATATATTTGTGTAATATTTTTATAGGACTTACGATTTAAGACTAAGGAACTTTAAGATTTACAGCGGGATTTATTAACGAACCGTATATCATCATGCTGATGTGGACCAATTCAAAACTTCTGTTAATAGACCTAAGTTATGTTTCCCAAATGCACAGTTGCTAACAACGTTAACAACAAACATAGTTCATGCAACTGAACGATTCCAGCTCTATATGTTGCTAACAGGAGTTTTTGGCAAACATACCGTTAATCTTTTATACACGTGATCAAGAACTATAATCGCAATCATGCACACAACTCATAAAAGTTTCTTAATGTGTAAAGTGGGGGGCATCTAGCCGTGCAAACTATATAAACGGCATTTCTCCAGAATATTCTGTCTTATATCTAGATCTTCAGGCTTACATCAAAACAAGAATTTTACAAACGAGAGGAGGCCATTCGGCCCATCAAGCTCGTTTGGGGAGAACTTAACTAATAGCTCGGAGTTGCTAAATTCTTATCTAGCTCTGATTTAAAGGAACCCAGGGTTTTAGCTCCGCTACACTAACAGAAAGACTATTACATACTCTAAGTACATGCTGTGTAAAGAAGTGCGTTCTTTACTCAGAAGTGCTCGTTGTGATTAATGAGTCCATCCACCTTGTTGCTGATTGGCCTCTTCCTCCTTTACCTTAAACGTCTCAAAACATTAAAATATTCTCATTTGATATTCTTAATCTGATCAAGAACGCGCTTGTTTAATTAGCAGCAATATCGTAAACTATGAATGACGTGTATGAAAAGCAGGTACAGAAAATGAATTGATAGACGGCATTTCTATTAGACCGCTTCGACCGACACAACCAGCAAGTGGCGCTGCGGGACTTTCTAGCTGCCTAAATCTCGGAGGAAGAAAGTTTAGAAACGGATTTATAGGAATCCAAACGTATTATAATTGCCGTCCATCGTCCATCCATCTTCCAACCGCTTTCAGGGCAGTACAGGTAACAATTGGTAGGGGGATCATCCTGTACAGGATGCCAGTCCACTGCAGGAAATGTATTACATGTTTTATGAAGTAAACTAGTTATCGGATATCATTCCCCGAGAGGAACGTAGCTTTAATGGCTCTGTGATATTTGTATAGCAAGACCCCTCACAAGGTGACATAATCAGGCGTCAATGCAAACGTATCCTGCAATATCCCGGGAATTGATCACTGAAATTCCGCATGCTTACCCTGCTGCCCAATGCGCTTCTAACCCTGTATCCCGGTTTCTGAGCGTCATTCAGGGCACTGGCGGACTCTTTGTCGCACATTATAATGTGAATTGTTAAACATGCATACACATGTAAGCTAATGTTTTTTTTTTTATCATGTTGACGTTATTCTTTGAACAGATATATCCTCTCTCACAACACTGCAAGACGTAATGCGCCGGTAGGTTGCGCGCCATAAACGCGCTCTGGGAAAAGCGGAGTCACAGACTGCTGAGAACAGCGTGTCTTTGGATAACGTGAAAAACGAGAACACCCAGGGGGAGCCCAGGCAAGGAAACGGGCAGCGGCAGGCTCTGGGTGCTGCTCTCACTCTCCGCTGCGAGTCAGTAATACTGCAAGCCCCTTTTCTACATATCTTTACATATAATGAATATTTGATCTCGTCGATACATTTAGGAGTGCATCTTAAAATTCACGCATCTGACATTGAATGTTTAAAATTTGTTTTAATGGGGGCATTCCTGGCTTGTCTTCGGCGTGTCCCGTCAGCAGCATTCTGCGAGTCGGAGATGCGCTCGGTAGCCTGACTGACCGAGCCGCTTCAGGGGCGGAGATACAGCGAGAGACACGCAGTGCGGGAAGAACCTCACAACTTCGTCCCGAGTGGCGCTTCGGACGATGTGAGCACGATGGCCGAGACAAGGTAAGCTGTTAAAAAACTTAAGCGGGGCGTAATGGACGCTAGCTCGGGAAACTGGCGCTTTGATGGCAGTGAATCACCTTGTTTTCTGGTGGTCGTTGTTTAAATCGACGCAAGGTGCAGTGCGAATAGTAATCCGATAAAAGTTTAAAGGTTGCGTTAAAAGTTGGAGTATTTCCTTTTCTTTGCTTGCCGACCCTGTGTTGCATGTTTTATTAACGGGCGACTGTGTGCAGTGACCCACAAAAGGCACCTTGCTTCGGGTTTTGCGGTGCAACGCAAATCGGCGTTTGAGCCATTAAGTGTGGAGGTATTGGACTGGGGGGAC